TAATCTGAAAATAAAATGCAATTACTAGATTATAAAATGGGAAGGGTAGAGGGAAAGTATCATGGTTATTGGTACTATTATGACTTGGATCTAAAGTTCCCCAAACAACCAGGAATGGTGAAGTACGCCTGTAATCGTAGAAGCAGGGAAGCTAAATAAAGATGTTAGCCTGAGCTACACAGCAAGATACTGTCTCAAAGAGGAAAAATAAATAATCCCTCTCTACCCCAAAGCAAGCAAGCAGACAGAATTCAAGAAGTGACTGAATCGTGAGGGCTCTAAATTTATCAGCCCATTAGCCCACCGATGAAAGTAATGATATGATGGCATTTGGGAAGTAGTAGAATCTCAGGAGGCCTCCTTGAAGGGAATGGCTTGTGAAGGTGTAGCCTTGGGTACTGCACGGTCCCCAGCTCCTTCCTCATTAGCTCATTCCCTTCCTCGGCTTCCTCACTGCCATGGAGAAAGCAGCTTTCCTCTGCCATGTTCTTCTGCCATGATATTTCTGCCCCGGTGTCAGCCAGCCATGCACTCAGAACCCTGAAGCCTTAGGCTAAGCACTGTTTCTGTTCCACTGTTTACCTCAGATGTTTGTCCCACTGATGAAAAGCTGATGAGCACAGGTATGAAAATACAGAAGCAGTAAGGGGAGTGTTCTAGTGTGTGCTCTAAAGCTAGAATAACTAAAGTTCATAAAAACCTAGCACATATTTTATGAATAACTGGAAGGGAAGGGCTTGAAATCTCCAAACACATTAAGACAAGGAGATGCAAACAAGTAAGTATCTTGATTTAATAAGTACATATTTGTACTGAAATATCACACTGTACCTAATGTGTATACTAATTACATATTAATAAAAAATTAAAAACTGTCTAAGGAAATAAAGATGTAAGTTATCATACTGTATTTTCTATATATGTATGACTAGGATAATAGAAAAAAAAGTTAATTCCAATGACTGCACCTGTTCTGCTAAGGAAAACCTTCATTATCAGTTTTCTTTATAATATAACTCTAGTAGGAAATCAGAGTTTTTGGTGTAAAACTCACTCACACACTTAACATTTGAGGTTCAACTGAAAGAAAGCATGGCCTATGGTAAGAGTGGGAAACACTGAACAACACTTAAAAAAAAAAAAAAAAAACAACCAAAAAGGTGAAATCTCTAAAATTCATATAAAAGAGAAGGTGAGACCCCAGAGATACATGATAAAATGGAATTCATCAACTCAATCTGTAGCTGGTCACCACTTTCCAATTATTCTCTTCGTTGGTACAATAAGAAATTGCAATCTAAAATAAAACTGACTGTTAGGGCCAGGAATATAGCTCAGTGGCACAAGTACCCGCCTAGCATATGTGAGTTCGATTCCTTGTAGCCCCCCTAAAAAGAAAACTGACTTTGAAACTTAAAGGATTTATTCAAAATATAAAGGTTTTTAAGAAAACAGACTCACAAATAATTTCCCTATGTATTATTCATCATTAATCACAATGTCACTGCTGACATCTTACATTGAGCACTTGCTGAGCAGGGTAGGGCTCAACCATGTAGACTGATGGCATGACAGACAAGTGCTCTTCATCTGCTGCTTGTGCCTAGCTCTGTCAGGTGACAGGTAAATCACAATCCTCTTCTGACAGCATTTCCCCAAGAATTATTCTAAGCACCCCTTTATTCACCATACTCGAGTGAAGCAGCTGTGGAGGAGCAGCTAGGAGCTGAGTTCGAGCACCGGCACTGCCATGCTGCACCACGCCTTTCATTGCCAGTGCATGTGCAGCTCGTAGAGTCTGAGGTTGCTAACCTGTATGCCAGCTGCAGATGCTCCACCACTGGGGTATTCTGGGGCCACAGAAAACCATGGAAATGGTAGCTATTCTCCCAGACAGGAGTCTGACTGGTGATTCCACTTGGAGTTTATGAGAAAAAGAAAATGGTACCATGTAGGTAAACTTGCATACACTGTCTAATCTGAGAGGGAAAAAAATCACTTGAATAGAATTGAGGGTCTAGAGCCATCTTTATGTGGTAATAATTATAGGACCATGGTCAAGCCACTTATCCTTACTTATACAGCTGAAATCTAAGCAATAATCTATCCTATCAATACACTTGTTTTGTGGTAAAACGAAGCAACAGTACAACAGAAAAGTAGTCTGTACAAACAGAAAAAATAGTGACACATTATCTAATCAGGTATAACAAAATTGGTACAAACAAAACCATCTGCTATCAGGAATGTCACTGAGGTTTCTTTGTAACTCCTGAGAGTATTATGAGCAGAAAGTATATATCATACTCAAAGAATCATCCAAAAACTCAGAAATACTCCTTAAAAGTGGATGTGCTCCTTACTAGTGCACATACTACTGAACTCACATGGCATGTACGTCCCATGCTGTTAGTCATACCTTTGTATAGAAGGAAAAACAATTTAAATTGAGCATTGATCTGGCGAAAGTTAATAGCATGTACAGAATACCTGTCTCTCC